CCGGATCGATCCGTGAGGGCCCCAGGGCCCGAAACCAGGCAAAACCGCCCGCTGCGGAAGAACACGACGCCAGGATGTCAGAGGACGACGACCACGCTGACCACCACCGACTGTCTTGCCGAGTTGAGGGGCAACGAGAGGGGTGGGACCAGCTCTGAGGGGGAGACATCGCTGGAATCGGCGATCCATCGCCGATGGATCGGCGACCTGCCCCCGATGGCGAAACCGCGCGCTCCTGGGCGGGCTGAGGCTGGCTGGACCCCATCTGTGAGGGATGGGCGATTGGGGGCCGATGCGCCCCCCCTGGGCCTACCCCCAGAGTTGTGCTCGTCGTTGTGTTTTTGGACCGTAATGGGACGCACAGGGACATACTACTGCTACTATACGTCCGCCTTGGAGGCGCGCGTCCGACCCGAACATATAGTATACCCATCTCGTAGTATATCGTTTCTCGAGCGGTGTGGCCAGAAAGCGCCCGCCAGGACGCATATACTATAAGATTTCTCGGCGCGCGCGTCGCCCCGAGGGGGGCGACGAACACATAGTATAAGTACGTTGGGGGGACGCCGACGTAACTCGGGTCTCCGGCGGCCGTTCGGGACGATTCGGATAGCCCCAGATCCAAACGAGGCGCAGCTGCTGGAAACCACCCCCAGGGATTCGAACGCGTCCAACCACAATCCGAAAGCTCCTCCTCTCGGCGATCAGTGAGCGATTGGGGGTCCATGCGCCCCCACCCCTCTGGGCCGATCCAGACTCCTGACGTTGCCCCTGAGAGTCCCTGCCGCCGCGTCCGCTTTGGCCGCCCCCAGACGCCCCCGGCTGTTCTGCGACGACTGGCGCCCTCGCGGCCGGCCAGCGCCCGCCGCCGCCATGGCCTGCGAATTCGGCGGTTTCCCCTCCTTCTCCTTCTCCTCGTCGTCCTCCTCCTCATCGTCCTCCTCCTCTCATCGATTTCCTTCCTCCTCCTCCTTCTCCTCTCATGATCCACTCGACTCCATTCCATCCCATCCCACCCCATCCCGTGGAATCGAAAGAATGATAATGTCCCCTGGGCCTAGCAAAATATAGGGTACAAGCTATGTGATCTGATCGTTTTTTACAAATGAATTTACACATCCCATGTCCTTGCAAACATCCTATTCACCCACCCGCAACTTGGTTTGCAAAACGCCTGCGGCGGCGATTCCGGTGAGTGCTTGGCGTTGGTTGGTGCATCCCGGCGGCCGTGCCAGCCCGCGCATGCTCTCGCGCACAACGGCCAGCTAGTTTGGCGCGACCGACGCGGCCGCGGTGGCACTGACCGCTGGGCACTTCCCAGCGGGCACCTCCCTCTGGCCCACGTGGTATTATTTGACACGGATCGTGCCCCCCCCCAGCACGCGCGCAAGGGCGTTCGAATGAGTTCGCCATGCGGCGCGAGACGCCCGCCTGGCAGAATGTGATGCACCTGTTGAAACACCGATGGTTTTCTTAAGAAGTCGCCAGACTGCGAACGCAGGATGTTGTGAACTGATGTTGCAAAACCAAATGGCTTGATATGTGTTCGGGACGCTCGTTTTGGACACCCTTACGGAACTTAAGTGTTTGAAGGATTCTGGCATGCGCGCGCGACGACGCGACGTGCGTGCGTGCACATCGTCTGATTTGTTGCAAAGGACTCTTGCGACAACACGCGCGCAAGGTCGTTCGAACTAATTCGACACGCTCGCGTGAGAGGCCCGCTTGGTAGCATGTTATGAAAATTCTGACAACCCTATGGTTTCTTAAGGATTCGCAAGATCGCGGGCGCAATTGTCTTTGAACACCCGTGTTGCGAAACCATGTTACTTAGATGTGTTCGTGACTCTCGGTTCTGAAATCCTTTCGAGACCCTAGAACTGTTGGAAGATTTCGACATGCGCGCGACGACGCGCGCGTGTGCACTTCTCTTCTTTGTTGCAAGAGTTTCTTGAACATCGCATCGTTTTTTGCAAAGGATGAAGGCGGGAACCGAATTCTGGCGTGCCTGGGATGATCTGAGTTCGCATTTCGGATGGACGTTGGGTCGAACCATATGACCACTGCCATACGAAACAGTGGGCCGTCAAGTCCAGGGGGGAAGGTAGATTCGACTTCTTCTGCAAACGAGAAACTCACTTGGCCGACATCCGCACCCGACCGCGTCCAACGCTCAGGCAAACATCCCACCCGCCCGTCAGCGACATGTTGGCAAAACTCAACTGGCGTGCGGCCGCTGCGGCCTTCCGCCAAGCGACGACACGACCGCCTCCAAAAGCTCAAAGGAGTCCCAGACCTTCGCCCGCGCCCCGTCCCCCTGGTAGCGCCCCGCCTGGCGCCTGTCCGTGTGTCTCTCGATGGCCCCCTCCTCCTCCTCGCTCCTCCTCCTCCTCCTCCTCCTCCTCCTCCTCCTCCTCCTCCTCGCTCCTCCTCCTCGCTCCTCCTCCTCGCTCCTCCCCCTCCTCCCTCCTCCTCCTCCTCCTCCTCCTCCTCCTCCTCCTCCTCCTCCT